AAGCCTTCAGAAAAGAGAGAAATTTTGAGATAATATTGTGAAAACAAACATTTAGTGAGGCAGTGATTTAACAGTGTGCAAAGGCAAGAAGGTATGAAAACTCAGGTGGCATTTAGGGAAGTAAAAGAAATATGTGATGCTGGAGGCAGGACGCACTTAGAGAGGGAGGATACGTGAGAAAATCGGAGGGCCTTGCCAAGATGTTGGTACTTCATCTCATAAGTGATAATAAGTCATTAAAGAATTTTAAGAAGGCGAATAACTATCAAATTTGAGTTTTAGGAAGCTAACTCTGCAAGTAATGTGAAAAGATGACTCAGTGACAAGGGGAAAAAGCAAGAGGCCTTTTTGTCCAGGTAAAAAATATAAATGAAAGCAGGGTTGTAGGCAAAGTGAGTAGAAGTCAGATCAAAGAGCTATTTAGAAGACAGAACCAACCCTTAGTTTCTAAGAGGTGGTCGGAAAGAGAAGGGAGGAAACTTTTGGTCTCAGCAGTCGAGAAGAAAGTAGTGTCATTAAAAATAAGATAAGGACCACAGAAGCAGAAGCAGGTTTGGTGGAAGGGGTGACAGGTTGATTCTGAGGTGCCAGGGGGGATATTCAGGTACAAATACCCAGTGTCCAGTTGTAAAATTGGAAAAGAGTCTGGAACTGAAGCTGTGGCTTAAGGAATCCTTAGCAAAAAGATGGTCACAAATCCACTGAAGTGAGTTGGTTCCCGTGGACTCACATAAACATCAAGAAGTTAGGGCTCAAGATTAAAAAGGCCAGGAGGAGTCTACTTTTCTTCTCATGCCAGCAAAGACATTAAGAAAAATGCCGTTTTCCTCTGTTGCTGTTCTTATTGTCAGTTTGTTCCGAGCAGACTGCAAACAGCAGATTTTTATAGCATTAGAGATTACAAAACAAACATCACAAAGATTAGATAATCAAACTGGGGACAAATATACAGATTGGAGAGTATTACAGCAGAATATAACAGAGGAAATTTAGACCATATAGAATCTGATACCTAGAAAGTGAGGTACATGTTTTAGCTGCCTCTGAAACTCCCATATTGCTAAGGGTACATGGGTCGGATTCCATCTCTTGCCCTCAGCTCACCCACAACCATCCAAATGCAAATCAGTTCTACCATCCTGTCAATAATATAATATGCAAATTGGTACTCTGGAGAAGGGCCTTCTTGGACCTTCCCAATGCCCCGAAAATGGCTGACACACGGAGTGGCTAAAAAATTTCATGCATTATATACAGGTATTAAGAAATGTAGACAAAAGAACAGTAAGCTAAATGCCAGGAGATCCAGATTCTACACTTAATCTTTCCACCATGGACAAGTTAATTACATTCTTTGTATGTAAAAATGGGAATATAATGCACAGCAGATTTTGAAAAATTAAGTGTTATACAACATATGGTAATACTGCTTGAAAGTTGGTTATATCGCACACAAGCTCCTGTATATTTAGAGGCCAGATAAGTCAATGTTTTGCTCTACCGTTTTAGAGAAGAGTCTTTGATGGTAAAACTCGGAAATAATTTGCAAGAAATCCTAGGTGTGGAGGAACTGCAGGATTATTGATTCTCCTTCTGTACATAACCTTTAATTCTGCTCACATCTATTTCTAGCCTTTGGGTCAGAGAAGTTACAATATGACCCAGAGTCCTTCATGCCTCAGGTTTTCACCCACCCACAGAGGATGTGGGCCTTCTCTAACAGTGAGACACCCACTTTCCCTGCTGCCTTCTGCTTGGGTGGCAACCCACCAAGCCAGGGTCCCTTACTTCCTTGTCTATCTGTCCTACCAGACAAGAAGGCCCCTGGATGCAGAGTAGAACTCATCCATTATTGTGTTCTCAGCACCTGGCACCACATAAGGGCTCAAGAAATGACCCCCAAGTGAAAGAATAACAAAAATTAGAAGTAGGGAAGACTTCCAAATGGCACATATAAAAAAATAAAAATTTTATGTTATTTTTTAAATAAAAATTGTATATACAGTCACGCGTCACTTAACGATGGAGATACATTCTGAGAAATGCCTCCTTAGGCAATTTCTGTGTTGTGCAAAAATCATAGAGTACACCTACACAAGCCTAGATGGTATAGCCCACTACACACCTAGCCTATACGGGATAGCTTATTGCTCCTAGGTTGCAAGCCTATACAGCATGTTACTGTACTGAATGCTGTAAGCAACTGAAACACAGTGGTAACTATTTCTGTACCTAAATACATCTAAACAAAGAAAAGATATGGTAAAAATATGGTCTAAAAGGTAAAACATGGTGATCTCGGAAGCTAAGCAGGGTTGGGCCTGGTTAGTACTTGGATGGGAGACCACCTAGGAAGACCAGGTGCCATAGGTGTAAAAAATAAAAAATAAGAGATTGTAAGCTGACAAGGTCCTTGCAATCTGTGAGGTCAACCAAGGGTTGTCTCACCTAAAAAATTTAAAAAAATAATAGAAATAAAAAAATAAAAAATAAAAGATAAAATATGATATACCTATATAGGGTACTTATCATGAATGGAGCTTGCAGGACTGGAAGTCGCTCTGGGTGAGTCAGTGAGTGAGCGGTGAGTGAATGTGAGGGCCTAGCATATCACTGCACGTCACTGCAGACTTCATAAACACTGTACACTTAGGCCGCACTAAATTTATTAAAATATAGTATAGTGTCACGTCAGCTACGACATCAATAGGTGATAGGAATTTTTCAGCTTCATTATAATCTATAGGACCATCACTGTATATGCATGTCTGTTGTTCACAACATCATTATGCAGCTCAAAACTGCTTGAAATCTGTAACACGATGGCCTGGTATACAATGGCGTGGTATACTCATATATCATGAAACGATTACTACGGTCAAGCTAATTAACATATCCCTCTCACATGGTCACTTTTTTGTGTGTGTTTGATGAAAGCAAAAATAAAAATTTAAGACTCTCTTGCATTCACCAACAGATGAATGGATAAACAGAATGTGGTATATATACACAATGGAATGTTATTCAGCCATAAAAAGGAAGGAAATGCTGAGACATGCTACAACAGGGATGAACCTAGAAAGCATTACACTAAGTGAAAAAATCCAGATACGAAAGGACAAATCCTGTATAATTTCTTGTATAGGAAGTCCCTATGGATGGTGAAATTCATTGAGATACAAAATAGAATGGTGATTGCCCAGGGCTGTTGGGGGGGTAGGGGAAATGGGAAGTCAGCGTTTATGGAGATACAGTTTCTGTTCGGGAAGATAAAAAAGTTCTAGAAATGCA